AAAACTAGAAAATGACAAATCGCAAGTAAATAATTTACTTAGTGCTATCGAATGCGATAGAGCAAAAGTGAGATCTATTCGCCGTCTTAAATCTAAAGGAACTATCGATCCTTTGCTTATCGAGCTTGAAGACGTTAATAACAAAAATATGGTTCTTAAACCATCAATTAAATTAAGAAAAATCAAAAAATATGAAAATGTGTATATAAATTGCGATCTAACAGCAAGTCAAAGATTCATTCTAAAAAATAAATTAATAGAACTAAACGAAAAAAATGCGTTAAGAAGTGAACAAGAAAAAATTAAATTTCATTACGGTATTAGAAATGACAATCTTACTCGAATTTTTCACAAATAGCCACTAGCAACCACTAATTTAGCAACGTCATCAAAAGTATCTCCCCCAAAAAAGACAAATATTGACTATACTCGAATAAAATCTCAATTTATTCAAGATCCACTTCTCAACATAAACAAACTGAACACTTCTTACTTTGATTCGGATAAAGCCGCTATTTTCCTTAAAAGATGTGAATTATATTTTTCTAATCAATTCTCAGTGTTTCATTTAAATATTCGTAGTATTACTAAAAACTTCGACGAACTAAAAGTCCTACTAGATAATCTTAACTTTAACTTTAGCTTAATTTGTTTAACGGAAAGCTGGATTTTAGATACAACATTTAATCAAAATTCTAAATTTATATTGCCCAACTACAAAGCCTTTAGTTTTGAAAGTCTTCAAAAACAGGCGGTGGTATATGTGTCTATGTGCTTGGTGAATTTACTTATCAAATTAGATATGACCTGTCGTTCTCTGAGCCGGATTTTGAATCTTTCACTTTAGAAATCTACAATAAGTCATCTAAAAATATTATTGTGACAACTACATACCGACCACCAAACGGATGTTTAAATAACTTTCAAAATCACTTAAGGGATTATTTTGAAACAGCATGCAAAAAAAATAAAGACCACTAATTTTTATTTCTTGGAGTTTATAACGTCGACTATTTAAAATATGGTGAAAATAATAAAGTACAACAATTTTACGATAGCTTAAATGAGTTTGGAATGATGTCTATAATAAATAAATCAACAAGAATAACACAACACTCTTGTTCTGCAATCGACAATGTTTTCACAAATACACTCTTCCATTCCACATTTAAATCAGACATCATCAGAAGTGACATAACCGACCATTTTCCAGTCTTTGCAATTTTCAAAAAACCAAAAGATTTACAAAAAAAAGGACTGGTACTTCAAAAAAAGAATCTTTACAACCCGAGCAAAAAATATGTTTAAACTAGAGCTATCAACTGTAAATTAGAACTTTGTTTTTCTCGAAACATGTGCTAATAACAGCTACAACCTTTTCTTAGATAAATTTTTCAATTTGTACGATAAGCATTTTCCTAATAAAATAATCCGTATTAAAACTAAAGGTCTTCTTAATCCTTGGTTCACTAAAAGCCTTTAAAAGTCTTTGAAGCGAAAACAAAAGCTATACATACGCTTTATTAATTCAAAGAAAGAACGTGATAAGCTTAATTACTTAGAGCACAAACGTCTATATGGAAGAACTAAAAAAATTGCTAGAACTACATACTTCAAAAACAAGCTATTAAAGAGGATGGGATGCTATTAAAGAGATTCTTGGAAAACAAAAAATACACAACAAAGCCTTACCAAGCGTGATTACTGTAGACGGCACACAGATCTCTGATTAAAATCGGTGGCAACAAAATTTAATGAGTTTTTCGTAAATATTGGTCCAAACTTAGCCAACAAAATTAAACACACTCCTGCACATTTCTTGAGCTATCTATCAAAGTCGGATAAAAGCTTAGCATTTAAAAAACTCACTAGTAAAGAACTTGATGATTCAATAAAAAAATTAAATAAAAATAAAGCAACAGGCTATGATGCTATTTCAGTAAGCATAATCAAAGACTGCTACGAACTTATTAAAGATGTTTTATTAGGTATTTTTACCAAATCGCTTAAAACAGGTGTTTTTCCAGATAAAATGAAAGTTGCAATTATTACACCCATTTTTAAATCAGGAGATGAAAGTCTGGTTACAAATTATCGACCTATATCGGTATTACCTGTATTTTCAAAAATCCTCGAACGTATCATGTATAATAGGATATTTGCATTTTTGTATGATAACAATCTTCTTTATTGGAACCAATATGGTTTTCGATCAAATTGCTCTACGTAACATGCACAACATTCCACAAGGAACCCCACATGATATTTTAAAGCATCAAATACTATGTCTACTATTATGTTTGCAGACGACACCACTTTATTCTATTCTCACAGTAATATTATCTCTCTATTTCAAGTAGCAAATAATGAACTAGAACAAATATCAAACTGGCTTTTCGCTAACAGCTTATCTTTAAACACTGATAAAACTAAGTTTTCGTTATTCCATTCTAAACGAAAGTTTCAATCTATTCCAAAATCCTTACCAATGCTATATATAAATAACATCAATATTGAGCGCTCATTCACAAATAAATTACTTGGTATTTTAATAAGCGAAAACTTATCCTGGAGAGCTCATATAAATCATATTAGCAATAAAATCTCAAGAAGTATTGGCATCTTATATAAAACCAGACGAATCTTAGACAAATCTACACTAACTCAACTATATTTTGCATTAATAAATAGTTATTTATCTTATGGCAATATTGTTTGGGGTAGTACAAATAAATCTAAACTCGACTGTCTCCTTAAACAACAGAATCATGCAGCACGCATTATTTATTTTCAAAATCGCTTCACAAATGCTAAACCTCTTCTAAAAAGCATGAGGGCACTTGATATTTATGAGTTAAGTATTTTCAAAATTACACAATTTATGTTTCAACATCAGTCAAAAAAAACGCCGAAGGTTTTCGAAAATATTTTCCATAAAACATTAAACCGATACAACACGCGATCTACCGGAAGATTTAAAAAACCTTTTCGTTCATCAAAACTTACGAGCTTTGCCATTTCCTATCGTGGCCCAATACTATGGAACCATTTTACAAGTCTGAGTGGTAAACTTAAAGAAGCCAATACCTCTCAAAAATTTAAAAAGAACATAATCGAACTTATTGCCAATCACGATTCTTTACATGATTTTTTCTACCAATACACGATTATTTCCAATTTTTATTATCAAAGGTTACTGATGAAAAGACTTCTTCAGGTTCTCCGGTCTTGTAACTATTATAAATAATGAAATGTACTTGTATTTAATATTTCTAAATATTTTACGGAAATTATCTTTAATTGTAAATGGTTGCTTGACAAAAATTAAAATAATAAAAAAAAAAAATGTAGTATAGTTTATTATATTAAAATTTATTTAGTTTCCTATTTTTCATTTGTCAATTTCTATTCCTAAGTTCAAGTTCTAAACTTTAAAATAAGAAAATTTTTTGATTACAAAAATCTCTGTTTGATACGGAAAAAAAAAAAAAAAAAAAAAAAAAAAACCAACAAAATAACAACTAACATACTAAACCGGTGTTTAATGACACCAAAACGATTCTAGATTTTAAATACGCACAACGAAAGTGACTCTTTTTTCATTTATCCCTTTATTCTACTAGTAAAAACAATACAATACAGTACTAAAGTTAATAAAAACATTGATTTAACACAGACACTATTCTGAGTTAACCGAGTAATATAATATCGATCACTCATTTTTTATAAACTTTTTCATTTTTATCGATAAAGTAATAAATTTAAAAATGATTTATGTTATACAGTAGAATCCCGTTAACTCGGACCCTGGATAAATCGGACAAAACCTAGCTTATACTGTTATCACGATTATATATATTATATACTGTTATCACGATTGTATATATATATATATATATATTTGTAAAGTTGTTTTAATAGTTTATTTTATTGTAAAACGACTAACTTCGTAAACTGAAAAAAAAAAAAAAAAAAAAAATTCGATTCCCTTTGAATTCTATACATTTTAATTTCTCTTCAATTCTACCTTTCTCTTCTATAATTTATATACCCGTTCAGAGTCCGAGTTAACGGGATTCGACTGTAAATTCATCATATATGCTGGTCCTAACCCTAACATAAATTTGTATTGTTCATTATATTATAAAATCAAGATAGCTCTGGAACTTTTTTTGTCGTATTAAAAGTTAAAAACTTTATACTTTTAAATTAGTGTTTTGAAATTCTCCGCGATATATGAACAATAAAAAAGCACGTCACCCGTACAAGAAACGAAGGAAACCTAAAATTTACGGAGACTGGCCTTAAACCACCTGAGCGTGAGGGCAGTGACGGAAAAAGACTCTTCGGGGTCCGGGGCTATTTTAAGGTAGGAGGCCCGATTCCATGTTATTAACCCAAGATTTTATTTTAAAAGTTTTTTTAAAAACCTATTATTCTTAATCGGGGCACCAAAAACTGCAGGAGTACGGGGATATAGTCTCCTAGCTTCCTCCCCCCCCTCCTTATTTTAATCCAGCACTGCGTGTGGGAAACTGAAAAAACGCAATAAATTTTTACAAATAAAAAAGTTCAAAAAGTGCATTGGTAAAAAAAAGGAACGATCGTCATAGCAGAAAAAATAAGATATATTTTTACCTTGAAAACTTATTTTTATTTTTTATTACTTTACTAAAAATTTACAGTCATATATTTATAAAGCCGTCGTCATCGTGCATTATTAAACATTAAACGTGTTAAACAACGGTTAAGCATTTAAAAATGTAATTTCATAAAACGTATCTTAATTAGAAATTTATTTACCAAAATTAAATAAATTCGAACTTGCCTCAAAAAGAAATTGCTGCCAGTAGCAGACAGTAAAATCATTTTTGACTTTTCTTACTAAGAAAAAAATAGAGAAACAAAACAAAATAAAGTTTTTAGTTAAAAAAAAATATTTTTCTAATTTATCTTTTAATTTCTTTTTTTTTAATTAAGGATGTTAATAAGTATTTTCGTCATTTACAACTACTTTTTTAAATTAGTAAAAAAAAAATACATTTTTGTAAACAAAGGATCATTCTCTTTTCTTGGAAGAAGTTATCTGCCTATGTATAACTGCTTGGGTGCCTTGTTCCAGCGCAAATGCATAAACCTTCATCATCACCTATAAACACGCACAAAATAAGGCAAAGTTTTATTTTAAACTTCATTATAAGGAACGTCCCAAAAAAACTACAAGATTTAGAGTCCATGATTTTCTATTTTTGTCTGGACGCAGTAGTCATGGATCAAAAAATATTTAGAAACTTCTAAACTTTATAAGGGAATTAACAGGACTTGAATTCTATCCTATTTGAATAAATATTTAGGAACTTCTAAACTTTATAAAGAAATTAACAGGACTTGAAATCTATCCTATTTGAAAAAATCCTTTTTGAAGGAGTTTGAATGTTATAGCAAAATTTCCGGATTTAAAAATGATAAATTTCAGTAGTTTTTATGTCCTATATCTTACTCTTATGAACTTGACAAGTTACTAAATATTCTTAATATAATTATTCTTATGAACTTTATAAGTTACTAAATATTCTCATAAGTTACTAAGTATTTGAAGCTACTAGACTCCAGGATCTAATTAAAATAATGAATATTTTATTCTAAAACTCTGAATTCATATTTTCCGATTCCCAGTTATGACGTTATTATAGTGTTATTTAAAAAGGTTTCAAGTTTTCACCATTCATATAAAATATATAAAACGTAAAGTATAAAACAGTTTACAAACCTCATCCCAAATCCATTCTGCAATATCATCCAACTGACTACCGATTTCTCTTAATTCTCCACTAAATCGTATATAAGCCCACGCAACAACGGCCAATAAAGCAAGACCAAGAATGATGTTAAACACAGAAGCAAGAGACGTTAGACCAAGCATTATAAAAAATCCAGAGGTCATATAGGATAAAACAATAATAACTAGGAAGACAGCAGGAGTTCGAGCAGCATTAAATATGTTCTTACTATCGTTGGTTTTCACAAATCCATCAAAAAGTTCGTTAATTTCTTGTATAAGTCGCTGTTCATATTCCTTTGAAAACTCATCACCACCCATCTTACGTGTGGCGTTAAAAAGAGTGCGTGCTTTTGATTTATATATTTCGCTTCGATTATCTAACTCTTTTGGAACAAGATAAGGTGTATCTCCTCCACACAACTAAATTCAAAACTAAAACATTTTATATTAATGAAAGAATTAAAAAGAAATTATTAGAATATTAGAAAATAAAATATTAGAAAGTGAAAGCGCCAACAGGGAAAAATTATAAAATGCTGAACTGAGTAATACCAAAAAGATTAAAACACTTTCAATTTGACATCGACTGATGCTGACATTTTTTTTTGACATCGACAATTTGACATCGACTGATGCTGACAAAATTAAGAATTTTGTTAGGTACAAATCATTTTATGTTTGCACTATCAATATTATTTTTTTGAGTATTAAAAATGAAAAATTATCCATTCAGTCAATTACGAATTGAATACAAAAACTGTTATCTTCGTACTCTCACGTTTCAAACACAGAGGAGGAGAAGGGAATAAAAGGGAGGTGATAGGGATTTTAGCCCAAATCATAGCGTACCTTATAACAGACCTATTCACCGAGCGGGTGACATTAACTGGCGAATATTTTTAATTTCTTATATTCTGTAACATAAAGTTGAAGTGCTTACTAAACAATTTAGGCAATTTTTAAATTTTTAATTTACTTGGTAATAAACATGAGTGAATGCTGTGTTATGATATGCAACAGAAATTATGATAAAAGTTCTCAAGGAAAATCTTTTTGTTTTCCTCGAATACCAGAAGATATGGTGTTCGATTATGGCAGAAAAAGACCTTGTAATCTTAAAAGAGGAAAGCTAAACCCTGATGATGATCATCATCACGATCATGATGATAATGATGATGATGATCATCATCAAGCTTTAGCTTTCCTCTTTTATGCTGTTTTTTTAATAAAAACGATGTAGAGCTTTTTTTTTCTTTACTAAAGCTCATTCATATAATATGTAAGGCACTCTCTTCAACTTTTCTTACTTCTACCACTACCATTTTCTACTTTTTTCTATTTTCTAAAGCTGCTACTTCTCTACATGCTAATACCTAAATTACTTTAATCTTTTATAACAAACGTTGTTCGATACAGTGTTTTTTCTAATCTGTCTAAGATTATGCCTCCTTTTCTTGTCTTGCTAGAGTCACACCACACATCCATCTGATCATCTTCTCATTTGGCAAATACTACACCATATTAATACTAAAGTTTTTATAATAATAAAAGAATATTGTATGCCAACATCTCAATAAAAAGCAAACATATATCTTTATATCAATAATATATATGCATAAAGCGCATCTTGGTAACTTTTATTCCTTCTGAAATAAAAGTTTGGAAGCTTTTATTACTTCTCTTCAATTTTAAGTCAAGCCTCATTGTACTCCACATTTTTCAATATCTTGAACAGTTGCTTTATTAAAAATTAATCATTTTTTTTACAAGAATATCTCTTCTAAGAACCAATGTCCTTTTATTATTGCAAGAAGCCAATTTAAAAAAGTCCTGTCTAATGTTAAGCATATTATCTTGTGTCTTATCTCAGATGTTAGATTCTAGAAACTTTTAATTAGTATTGAACAATGTCACTAACTAAAACAAGTCTAACATTTAATCTCTAATTCATGGGTATGATCTTTTTACTTCTCCCCAGAATAAAGCAGAGTTATTTGCAATCTAGAAATGTTATTCTAGTTAGACTCTTGAATATAATGGTTATACTCTTTCTGCCAGTTAAACAGATTAACCCATTGTTAAACATCTAAATCACTCTGGCTTCCAATGCTAAATTTAAATCCCAATTAAACACTTCTACAGTTTGTGCTCCAGAATAGATATCAATCAGTCGTAAAAAAGTGTTCTTCAGAACTCTATTCAATTTTTGCTAAACTTTTAAAAAGTGCTAAATAAGTGGTTCCAATTTTTCAAAACTCTAGAAAACACTTTGACCTCTTCAACTATCTTACGATTAGTCTTCACTCTGTTATTAGTTTCTTTATATAAAGGTTTTGAAGTTATTAAATTATTTCTTTCTCACTTCAGTAGTAAAGTTATTCTTAAAGCCTAAACTCTTCTTTATTTCAAGTAACTTTAAGGGTACCACAAGGTTCTATCTTTGCTCCTGTATTGTTTCTTTTCTAAAACAATGATCTTCATGAAACCTAAAATGGCTCTATTTGCTGACGATTCAATTTTATACTCTTGTCTTGACAAACAATCTTCACATTTTGGTTGCTTTGAACAAGCAGGTGATTTTAAATCTGATCTTTCTTCTATAGCAGGCTTTCAGTGGCTTATGGATTTAAATTTTGGACTTAAAATCCACAATTTTTGTTAGACAACAAAACTCATTTATTTACTGCAAAAAAAATACTGCAATATTGTTGGCATTCCTATATTGACCAATAACAACCTTCTTATTCTCAGACAAAGTCTAAAAGTACATTATAAATGTGCTTTTAGACTTTGTCTGAGAATAAGAGAGTTGTTATTTGACCTGCTTTATCTGCCGAGCTTGAGCCACAAGCTCGGCAGATAAAGCTTGAGCCATTTTTTTATACAACTTACAACTTTTTAAGTCTTCAGTTATGTTTCCTAGTATTTTAACTTATTCTCTATTTTAAAGTAACTCATAACTTAATAGTGGTTGCTTGCAATCTTAATAACTTAATAGTGGTTTCTTGCAAACAACTTGGAAATAAATTAGAGCTTAAAAATATATAAATGTATGTCAATATTTAATAAATAGTAAATGTAAGCATAAAATTATAATATATTAAGTATTATAAATTTTTTTCTAGCCCCAGCTATCAACCCCTGCTAAATTTTATAATTTTGCCAGAACCGGGTTTTCAAAAAGTCTGATTTTGAAACGGGGTTGGGTCCCCAGTCACTTACTACCAATAGGTACATACTTTATCACTATTCAACAAATACTAGAAAATACAAATACTAGTTGGTATTATAAAAACAAAACTACTTTTCAGTTAGACAAATATGGTGTTAATCTTGATTTTACTATATCAGGACATTCTTGTTAAAGATGTGTTTTTTAATTAACTAAAGAAAAATGTTTTACATTAGATTATTTACCTGAATTAAAAAGTATATTATAAGTATATATCTATAGATGTAAAAATGACTCTAATTTACATAGCTCTTCTGTCAGGTTGCCTGAAATTATGAAGATTCAGATTACTCATACTTTTATTATGAAAAATTTAGAGATTTTAATGAGGAAATCAATTGAGGAGGATTAACTGTGCCTAGCGATTTAGTTTTTCAATCAGTAATATATTGCTATATCATGTTATGTGAAGTAGCTGATAGTACATGCATAAATGCTTTGTGCGATCTTGCATAACTGCTTTGTGCAATACAATACAATGATGTTTGTATCAGAATCATATCAATTAAATATGAGCAGAAACCAATACAATAGTTTTAAAAGAAAAATTTTTGAAAGTTATAATTTCAAAATCTTTTTTTTTTAACTGTTGTAATTTGTATTATCTAAGGTCTGACAAAGAATCAAATTAAAAACTTTTAAAACTTAGCATTAAATAACAAAGGTCAACAGCAACTGTTTTCTGTTAAATTGAACAGTTTAATCTAAATAATTATACCACATATAGTTAATACAATAAAATAAAAAATTATTATTTTTTAATATATTTTTGATACATTTTTTTGTTTAGTTTTATTTCTTCCTTAAAAAATAATTTTCATTTTTAATTCTTTAAAATATAAATTTTTCTGTGATTTTTGATTAAAAAAAACTTGCCTTCAGTTTATGACATCATCTGATCGTGAATAGACCTGTTACAAAGGATGCCATTGTCCACATCTTATAAACAAAGAAGAAGGGTGGGAGAGGGAAGGGAAAGGGGAAGGGAGGTCTTCATAAAAGGGTGGGTAGGAATTTTTTACAGAACATGCATAAAACATTTTAATTCTAATGAATCTTGCAGTCAAATTAACAGCGCTTGAACAGCTGTTTTATTATAATTTGAATAGAATGTAGTATGCTTATATAAATTTTATATCATTGCACAGTAGGACACATTGCAAAGTAGGAAACATTGCACAGTAGGACACATTGCACAGTAGGACACATTGCACAGTAGGACAGAGTGCACCAAAAAGTCATTGTCAACATAACATGCTGAAAATTTTGTTATAATGATGAAGACATGTTCATTAGAGGAAATGTAGTTTTCAAAACGCTATTTTGCAATTTTTAATTATCAACTTTGTAACGCTAGGTGTCAGATAAACCAACCTCCAATTTGTAACAAATAGGAATTGTTCCCGGGAATTTTCCGGAAAAAATAATAAACCGAAATTCTGGATTTTTTTTTGGTACCAATGAATTTTAATAACAAATCATTTAACTTTCCCGCCAAAAATAGAATTTTTTGTTTTGCAGACCATCAGAAGATCACCTAATGTTATTGTATACTTGTTGAAATTTATCATTGTGCAATTAAATTTTAATAATTATTATAAACATGTTCTCAAATCATAAAATTTCAAAGGTTTAGAATTATTAATCTCAAAAAGAATGATGAGGCACAATGCAAACAATGTCCAAAAATTAAATTATGCAAAGGCGGTTTTACCGTTGGGTTGAAAAGACATTTAGAGAAAATCCACAATATTATGTTAAATAAAGAATGTGAAGGTGAACTGCCAAATAAAAAATGTTGTGTTCAATCTACAACTGATTCTATAACTAAAAAAAAGCTTTATTAGGTGAACGATAGGTTAAATTTGCTGTTATTGATGGATTTTCCATAAGTGCAGTAGCTGAATCAGATCAAATTGGTGTGTTGCTTCATGATAAAGACTACAGTCTACTGAAATCTCAAACAGATGTCATGAACCTTACTTATAAATATTATATTGAAATAGTTGATGAAAAAAATATATATACTTTTATTTTCAGTTTAGATTTGGATGAATATTCAAAATATGGCAGAAAGTTTATGAATATAAATCTTCACTTTAATAATGATTTTATAAATCTTGGATTAGAGAGAATAATTGGATCATTTAGAGCAAATCATTGCCTTGAACTACTTATCAAAAAATTA